AGAAAAGGGTGTGTGTGGGAGATGGTGGACGAAGGAGGAGGGAGGTCAGAAACACGGATCTCTCTCGCTCGTAGTGAAATCGGGCGATTGAAGGCACGGCTAGAGGGTTCCTTGCTGCTGCGAGTCAAGTCGTGGTGTTAGAGCATTGCAAAGGCCGAAAGGTATTACCACAAACTCGTACAGACCTATCTGGTCTGAAAGGCGGTTTTGTGTTGATCCTCGGGCCGGATTGCAATCTGATGGTACCCGGACTTCAGATCTATCTTACTGAAGTACCGACACCCTTGCACTCTATCTAACAGATCATCGATGCGCGGTACGGGGCTCTCTATTCTTTACAGTGATGGCATTGAGGCCCCTATAGTCAATGCACATCCTAAGAGTACCCTCCTTCTTCTTAGGTACAAATAGAACCGGAGACCCATAAGGAGAGACACTCGGCCGGATCCACCCCTTCTCTACGAGTTCCTTGAGTTGTCGGCGAAGCTCATCAAGCTCGCTTGGAGACATCCGATAGATCCTACCCTTCGGAATACTAGACCCTGGGATAATCTCTATCGCGTGGACGACCTCCCTCTCTACAACCCCTGTCGCAACTACTCCCTCTATCTCCGGCGGCATTTTCACCGGCTCGCCTGCAGCAGAGACATAAACTAAGTACATACCCTCCTCCTGATTTTGCTTATAATAATTATAGAATGCGGCTGCACACATGCACCCGTAGGACTCAATCAGACTACTGGCTTTGAACTTGTGTAATCTGGCGGTCCCTCCACCTGGTAAAGTGTGTTTGACCACTTTTCGGTCCCAGTTAAACTGGGGTTGTGCCACAGAGAGGTAGTACACACCTAACAACATATCCACGGGGAGTTCGTCACTCACTAGGAACGAGACACGATGTCTCAAGTCCCCTCCCGCTTACGGGAAAACACACTCCACATTTTGGAGGTAGTCAATGACTACCATGCGCTGTTTGTTGGCACAGGTCGACTCCACAGGCCGACTCAGGCGCTGCACTTGCCCCTGTAAACGCAGCCTCTCAACGCACGCGACTGATAAAGTTTCGAGTCGAGTCAGTGTCATAATATGCCCCGGCCTTGCGGCCGCCAATGACAACCTCGCTGACGAACATCTCACCCTTAGGGGCTTTAACTAGGGCCGTCCAAGAAGCTAGCGGGTCTGATCTAGACCACTCCACCTCTAGCTCCTCTAAGGACTCAAACACATTCATCGAACAAAGGCTCGATGGGTCTGAATGTGTTTGCGGGACGACACTGGAGTCAGTAGCTTGGGCCATCTCTCGAGATGGTGAGGGTGTCTCCACCACCTCGACCCTAGTAGGAACAGCTACAAATCCTACTGGCCCGACGTGTTTCTCGGAGCACTGGCTGAAGAACTGGCAACATTGCTACCAACGGGCTGAGAGGATCCCAACACTTGCCCCATCGTAGGCGGGATCTTTTCTGTCACTTTCTTGTTGCGGCACTTGAATTGGTTGTGGCCATATTGACCACAACGAATACAGGCTTGCCGTGAGTAACGGTCGCTCCACACGTCCTCCGTAAGACCCGCTTTCTCCCATGGAGGAGCATTGGGGTCAACTTGACTCCTAGACCGGGAGCCTTCGCGGCGTCTACCGGTCGCCTTTCCTTTTTGAGAAACGACAGCGACTACTCCACCCTCTGAAGCGTCTACACTGCCTACCTCTGAACCTTCTCCTTCCTGGAAGTTGCCATCCAACTCGATGGTGGAACCATCGTTGTCGACAAACATCAAGCGACCTTTCGCTTTCCAGCTAGGAGGCAGTGTCTTCTTCCTCCCATCCGTAGTGGGTGCCTGTCCATGCCCTATCTTAGCTTCAAGGTCTAGGGCCACCTTGCTGAACGAAGGGAAGTTGTGCATATTGATATTGGCCTCTTTTGCCAACTGGTTCCTGAGAGGCTGAGAAAAGCATCTCAAGTACGAAGTCAACATGACCTGGGGGTCATAGCGCACACCTGGGACACAGATCAGACGCTCAACAACGTCGGTGGCTTCCCTTACTCACTTAAACTGCCTTGTGTGCAGTGTGAGGATCGCATCAGTGGCCCTTTGGGCCTCCTGAGGATCATGCCACCTTTCTTCCACCATCTGAGGAAGTCCTCCAATTTTTGGGAGGCCGCCCAAGCGCGGAAGTCATGACCATACCCCTGGAGTTGTACCAAACCACTCAACCATCTTGCTGCACTACCCTCTAGGTAGGAAGCAGCCACAAGCACTTCTGTGTGCGGCAAGGTGAGTTTACACCTGACGTAGACCGACACTGCCCTCAACCACGTGTCAAGGTCTTCGCCCCTCTTATCTCCTGTAAAAGGTTTGGGAGCGGCGATGGCCGTCTTCGGAACCCACTGAGTTTATCCCGGTCCCTGCATCACTCCGGGCTGTGGACCCGGTGACACAGGTTGCTGTGCTAGCTGCTGAGGCTGCGTGCCCTGAGGCTGCACAGGCTGCGAGACAGCAGGCTGCGTGGTGACTGCAACCTACGACGGACTTTGAGTGAACACTGTCTGTACAGGAACCTGCAAACTGCCCCAGGGGGAGGTGGGGATATTATTGGGATATTCACGGAGGTGTCGCTTTCATGGGGAGGGGTCGAGTAAGCAAGGTTACTTATTCGACCCCCCCGTGGCCCAAGAACTTGAATTCAGTAGCAGAGGACACTCTGGACTATGCCGACGGCCATCAGCCTGAACGAGATGCGATAGGAGTGGATCCTTGCCAAAACTTGGTAGTTTTTCCAGAGTATAGCTCGATGGCAGAAAAGTTATGGGTGCAGGTTTCAGCTCGTGCAGGCAGAGCGTTTTCTATTTGCTTTTTTTTACATACACTGGGTCATCAGTGTCCTCAGTCCGAAAGTATCTCGCGTGTCAGTCTGTCCAGATACATGTAGTGGAGCCAGGTCCATTCTAGATAGATTGGGAGAAAAATATAGCTTAGGTCCATTCTTGGGCTTTCACCTCAGACAGAGCCGAAACCCAAACCCATAACTCGTTCCCCAGAGCTTAGTGATGTTGCAGAAGCATATAACCTCAGGAGAGCCATTGCTCATGCAGAGTAATTCCCTCAGCAATTCCCTCGTGGCTGAGGATGGACGAGTATGTCATGCCAATGACGCCTGGTCCGTGGTCTGTCGGACCACACTATGCCAAATCGAAATATGAGGCCTGGTGAGCCCCTAATTTTTGAGAAGATGCGTGCGGCGGTTGCTCGCCGTTGATCTGCAAAGATAAGCGGCAGAGATCCTCCGCTCGTTGTTTTCTTGAAGTGGGGCCCAAAAAGCTCCAATTTTTTTTTTTTGAAGGAGGCTGCAGCCTCGTGGCAGCTGGGCAGTCGTGGGGATGCCTGTCACTGGCCGGTACGCCCCGTCCAGCCTAATGCGCTGGCTTCGACCGGGGGTCTGCGGGGCTGGTTGACCGGCCGGTCCGACCGGCAGGCTCCCGGGCGGGGGAGGGCCCCCCGGTCCAACCGGGGACCAGCCCTGGTTGAAAGGGGGTTGAAAGGGGTTTTAAAAACTTTTGACTTCAAATGGGTGTGTTTTGGTTTGATATTTTCTTTTTGTAATGACCCGCCAAAAACACAGACTGAGAACACTGCTGATTTCTGGGATTTGCCGCTGGAATGAATGCCTTGCTGAGATTCCCGCATTCTGCTGTGGTTTCCATGTCTGTGTGTGTGTGCGTGCCTGCTGGTTTGCATGCCTGTCTGAGTGCTTGTTGGCTGAGTGTGTGTGACCCGCAAGAGTACTTGTTGGTTGAAAGGCCCCGCAGGGCCGGTACTTACCTGTGGCCGTGACTTTGAGGGTTGCAGCAGGGAAAACACTCAAGTAGCGGGGGTAGGCCCGCGACACTTAGAGCAGCGGGGAAAAACACTCAAGTAGCAGGTAGGCCGGTACCACTCAAGTAGTGGTAGAAGTGTCGGGTACTGGAGGCAGAGCAGAAGAAGACAAATAGTTGGCATTTTTAGAGGCCCAGTAGCGGTAGGTTAGAGGTAGGCCGGTACTAGTCCAAGTAGCCCGGGTCTAGGGCCTGTCCGGACGATAGCAGAGCCTGCAATGATGTTTCCCTCCGACAGGGAGGAGGTATCGGTTGCTGGGAGGCCGCTCGGCCTAGGAAGTCACCGCCCAAGAGGCCAGTAGGCCGCTATACCTTCCGGAGGAGCAAGTGGCTCCTCCTCATTTGCGGTATGCAAGGATTGGCGACATGCTGCTGAGCCAAGCGCTGGACTGGTACAGCGCTGCCTGGAGGTGAAGGGCAGCTGGGCGCTCAGCCTGGTTATGGCGAGCAGTCCAGCTTGAGGAGGAGGAAGAAGGGGGCGGAGGAGGAGAGTGGCGAGGCACCTACCTGGCTATGGTGGACACCATCTTCATCACCTTGTTGGGCGCTGCATCTGGAAGGCCCCAGTTGGGGTAGTGCCACACCAAGGGAGCTCGAGGCAGAGTCAGGCATGGCGGCTTAGTCAGCAGCGACATAGCTGCTTTGGGTTGTCCTTTGGACAGGAGTGCAGCGCCATAGCTGCTTGTGTTGACCTGTGCACAGAGAGGGGCAGAGCCCTCAGTTGTCCGCCATAGCTGGGGCTTGTGAGAAGTGGAAGAAGGGGGGGAAGCCATAGCTATGGTGGACCTGTTGTGGTTGTTGTTGTGTCAGCAGTAAGAGGGAACTTTGGATATTGATTCTGGTTCATCCACTCATCGTTATTATTATTATTGGGAAGAAGAATAAGATTGGAGAAGTTAAGGAGGAGGAGGAAGGTGGAGAGAGAAGCGCGACTCTCATTTTCTCTGTATATTTCTCATTCACAGCAGACTTCCAGATCTGCCACCTCAATGGCGCCTGAACTCCCACCAATGCCAATCTCAACTGATTCAAAATTTAAAAGTTAAAACTGGGAAATAGATAAGCATGGTTCAAATATGTATAACATTGACAGGTTGAACTAAGTTTGGGTTTTTGCTGTGTGGATAGGTTGGAAACCGAGCAAGTAAGTTCCATCCTCATGCGCGCCGAGTTCGTAGAACAGGGTCATATATCTACGAGGAGTTCATGCCAACAGGAGGAACAGATGTTAAGGTGAGCATCCCACCCAAGCCCTGGGACAAAATCTTTGATCTCTTCTCTTCTTTCATCTCTTCTTCTGTCACTCGGGATTCAAGGGCGTTCAACCCGTGACTGAAAATGCATGTATGAGGTACAGAGCCTGCTAATGTATGTGTATGTCCATTGTCCAGTTTATAAAGGCCAATGTCTATCAGAACTTTAGGCTTGCTTTTCAGCATCTGCTAGTGTTTATCAGATTTCCCAAAAAAGAATAGCACTGGGGGTCTTGCTCACAAGAGCTGTGGTAAAAAATCCAGCAAAGCCTGGGCTGATAAGCCTAGAGTAGCAATAGAGTACTTGGAATGGAACACAGAGATAGAGAGTGTTACATGCCTAGAAGGGTCCCTGTTACATGCCTCAGACGGTCCTTGTAACATGCCTCAAAGGGTCAATCCTCCATGTATCATGGAGGATAGAGAGAGTAGTTGGAAGGGAACAAAGAGATAGAGAGAGTGTTACGTGCC